AGAGAACTAAATGAAGTTAGTTGAAAATTAATAGATGCATTTACTGCTTTCAAATAATATGTTTCAATTTTTCATTGTTCATTCATTTGACAAATGCAAATTTGAAATAATATGCAAAATGTTTTGTGTTCAAACGCCCTAAACAGTCAGTCGATTTTTGTTTCAAAAAAAATACACAGCTCAAGGATTTGTGTAGTTAGATACAAATCCTTGCACAGCTCAGTGAAACTAACTTTTACTCATTGTTGAAGGCCGTACAATGACCTATAGTTGTTAATTTCTGTGTCATTTGGTCTCTTGTGGAGAGTTGTTTCATTGGCAATCATACCACATCTTCTTATTTTTATATTTTTGCATGAGGCATTTGTACTTTGGAAAAGTATTTTGTTTTATATTTTGAATAATGAATCATACAAGTTGTATACTGCTAATGAAAATAGCAAGACCCAATATTCACTTTGTAATTGTGTAAATTCGGAAACTCGTGTGTGTATTCATTATTTATGTTCTTTAACAATGGACAAACATGCGAGACTAGTTATTGTGATTTCGATTCCCGTCGAAGACAAATACAATGCTGAAGACACACCAATGTTTCTATTTACCACAAAGGAAAGTTTACCTCATCTGATAAATAGGTTTAACAACTGGTGAGTATATGATTTCAATAATAATTTTTGAAAATCTCTCAAAAGGCTCGTTTATTATCATATTCAAATTAAATAACTCGAGTTGATATCAAGTGATGTCAAATTCTCATTTATTATGAAACATATAAATAACTATTTAACTGTTTATTCAAAATACACTCAGACGAAGATTTCCTGCGTAACAGGAGCGACAAATACATATGTATTTACACATAACATAGACGCTAAATGAGTAGAATAGATAATACCAAACATATGCAATGTAGTAAGGAGCAAATATTTTGATTGAGATGCGATATGAATGATTGATCCTTAATTTGATTTTAGTTTCGTTGTCCTCTTTATAGGTGGTACCAGAGTCGCAAACTATGAAAATAGATGACATGCTAGTATTTACAACATATTCGTAATAACAAAGCGAATATACAGAAAATACACCGGAAATAAAGAAATGATTTTTGGAATGGCTCAGTAGTTATAATAAGCTGTAAATTCAGGTTGTAATTACAAAAAGACAAGCGTTATTAATTCATAGTCTTGGCGTTTTGTGATCCAGTGAGTGGGTTTTCTTTTTATTTTCTCTCCTCCTTTTAAATTCGTGCTCAAGTAAATGCTAAAACACATGTTTACTCAAAACTCCTGTCCTGCCTATTTTTTTCAAATTTCATCCTAGCCCCCCCATAAAAATCAAATGGTAGCTCCCTAACAAATATGCCCCTAGATATCAAAATACAATCTTTTCTATATCATACATACAGTATACTTAACCTAGGCATTTTGCATTTGGGGCCTCGGTGGTCGAGTGGTCTAAGTAGTCCAACTATTGTATCACTAGCCTGTCAATACTGAGGTTGTGAGTTCCAACCCCACGTGGCAGGTGTGCTCGACTCCAATTTTAATTGACTATGATTGTCAGTATTCTTGCCGAAGGTCGGTGGTTCTTTCTTGGCACTCCGGATTTCTTCACAAATAAAAACTGACCGCCACGAAATAGCGTTAAACACCTTTCAATCAATATAATGCATTGGTAATAGTTTGTGGTTATTTTTACACCGACAAACAGTTTGTTTATGGAGGATCTTCAAAGAGACGATGAACAAACAAACAGAACGAATTGGCGTACATCTAAAAGTTAAATAGTCATATGAAACATGGAAAAGGTATTGATTAAACACTGTCGACAAAAAATTGTATGAATTTTAAGAACATTTCTCTAATAGGTCATCTACGTTGATAAGATATTGCTATTACGTAAATTTGCTTTCAGCTGTCGGTTGGATACAATATTGCTATATGTGACACCATATTGACGATACGTCTGCTTTAAAAAGCGTTCTTGTTTATATTGGCATTAATGAATTTTTGACATTTAAGTTCCTCCCGTTCTAATAGAATCTCGTTTTGTACAGAATCAGCATTGATGTATTGACGTAAATATGATGAATCGCATAGTTCAATACGTCATGTAAAAAGCTAATAAAAATGATGATTTTATTTATAAGTATTGAAGGAGAAGAAATAACGTTAGATCGTATACACTATTTTTTAACAAAACAGATCGCACCGAGACAAGCATTAATTCATACACAGTAGATTGATATAGATTGATATAGATTGATATAGACGTCATTTCACACAAACATCTATATATATAAAGTACATTTTGAATTAGTTAAATTACAATTCTAGAGTTTTGTTTAACGTTCTTTTGTTTTACTTTGAAATGGATCAAAAACGCTCGTGCAAAACAGAAGCAATGTTTTTTTCGTTTACTATATGTTCGTGTCGAGCAAACTTCGGGTTTCTGTGTAGTGTTTTCTATATGTTCGTGTCGAGCAAACTTCGGGTTTCTGTGTAGTGTTTTCTATATGTTTGTGTTCTTCATGTCGTGTTTTTTTTGCCATGTTATTATCAGTTTTTCTTCGACTCATGAATTTGTATTGCCCTCTTTAGTTCCTCTCCTCATTTTTATCACAAATTTGATTAATCTAGGCAACACTCAGAGACATATATACAACAGTAAATGGGTATAATAACGATAGGACAACGGACGCAAATTGGTGACAAAAGTGATGATAATAGCTGACAATTTTCCTGTAGACTAATTAAGCTCAAAGATTCACAAATAATAACTGATTGATTGTCTTTTGCCTACACGTCCATTCGCGAATATTTCATACACATTCAGTACCTGAGCAAAGAAGACACTATATTAACGATTATCACAGCAGCCAGTACCTCGGTACACATGACAATATTGATATTGTTTTATTTAAATATGATAAATTTTCCAAAATTATTTTAAATTTAAGGCTATAGCTTTGATTCCTTGTCTGGGGTTGGCTTTACTTTTTGTTATTTTGTTTGTTATTTTGTTTGTTTGTTTGTTTGTTTGTTTTTTAAACTCCTCAACGTTTGCATTAGGTTTGGAATTTCCAACTATTTTGTGGTATCAAACATTACTGTAGAGAAATTAATGCGATCATGATGCGTTAATTTTTTTTTACCGTTACCGTTATTACTACCACTTGGTCAATGCTTCTGCGAGGGTACCAGTAGCCTAGTATCCAGAACCTCGATACTGGCATGAAAATACGGATATTGTTTTATTCATTTTGTTGTAAAAAAAATTGATATCATTTAAGTTAAGGAATCTATCTCTCACGTGCATAGCTTTGATTTCTATTTGGATTTGCTTAACTTATTGTTCTTTTTGGTTTTATCAGCTATTCAAAGTTTGTATTTGGTTTTGGATTTTGAACTTTGTTGTTCTCGAGCATCACTGAAGACACATTTATTGTCGAAATGCACATCCGGTGCTGTATTGTTAATAGTATTGCCAATTCAATGGTTTATCATTCAAATACTTTAATGATTGGTCTTTTTTTCCTCATTTCCTAGGTCGAAATTTGACATATCCTTTTTATCATGTCTAAAAAACTTAATTGACCAAACAAATTATCTTATTTAGAGTCTTGACAACTGTCCTTTGTATTATGTGCACTTGAACAGTTTTAATTTTCAAAATAACGGGACTTTATTCATTCACTCGGGTGTTTCAATGCACCAATTTGCATATTTTCAGTTAGACTATATTTATTAACGACTTCATATTGATTTCGATATTACACATATACATGTATATGTTTATTTAGCAGGTGGTTTTCAGTGAGGAATGTAGTACTGGGGTGTTCATGTTGGTCAGAAAACAGGTTGAATTTACAATTTTGCAATCGAAAGTTAGACCAACCAATATGACCTTGTTTTTTGTTTACTTCATGTTTCATATAATTGCAGTTTTGTAATCAGCTTTGTCATAAAACATATGATAAACTGAAGTATTGTTGAGTATTATTGGAGGATATTAACATGATTTAATCGAGTATTTCTATTATATTGTTTTAGTGCTAATAAATTAAATCTGTACTTTTGTATTCACACAGCCTCCACAGATCTCGTGCACTTAAACTTAATCAACCTTCTGTGACTCTACAAATCATAAAGAGAACTGTAAAAAATACAAATTATGGATAGGTTTAATTGTTTAAAAATAAACAAATAATACCACTTTTATTAGCACCCAAAGTATGCATTCACTGAAGTCGTCTTGATAAGTGGACCTTCTTTATTTGTTGTTGCATGAAATAGACCTGTTTTTCTATCACTGTTAAGTCTAAAATGATTGGCTATTGTTTCTGCAGGTAAAACAGACATGTAAAGTCTAAAATGACTATATTTTTTGTTTTTGCAAGTAAAATAGACCTGTAAAGTCTAAAATGACTGGCTAATTTTATGTCGTATCTGCAGGTAGAAGTAGACCTGTAAAGTCTAAAATGAATATTTTTTAATAATCTACTGTATTATTTACTCATAACACGCAAGACATGCAGAAAGTATTTAAACGTGGGAAAGTAAGAATCCATTTTTAATAGTTTTAGTTATAATCACTGTTGCACAATATCTTATTTTCATACAAATTGCATGGAATATTTGAATGTTGTTTGGGTTCCGCCTACAACTATTCGTTACATATAGTACCACGGTCCTGTTTATCTATTAAAGCACCATTTGCTCGAAAACAATTATTATTGTCAAATTGATTGTATCGTACATATTCGTAATTCAAGCTGTTTCTAAACAAGATTTTTTATTTCTGTAGATACGATATAGGTTATATTTGTTTTGTGATCGTTTATTGATAATAGGGTACATTAAAATTAATATTTTACACGGTAATTATATCAAATATTAATCAAAAGAAACAATTATCGGTTCAATTTAACATTAGTGTATCGGTGTTTTATGATTTTATTTTATAGGCAAGTTGTTCTGCATAAAAGATTTAACAGGATCCGATGAGCTCTAAAGTACAACTGAATTTTATCGATGTTCCCTAATTTTGGTGCATCTCTGAATGGACATACTCCTGATTGCGGAGGAAATAAACCTAAATATGGAAAAAGGAGGGAAAGTGCAATCAGGGTAAATATACACTTTGAAAAAATAGTTTTGTTTAGGAGCCAGCTGAAGTCCGCCTCCGGGTGCGGAATTTTCTGGCTGTGTTGAAGACTCATTAGTGGCCTTCGGTTGTTTTTTTTACTCTTTGGTCGGGTTGTTGTCTCTTTGAAACATCCCCATTTCCATTCTCTATTTTATTAATAAAGTACGCTTATCTTATAATGTATAGTAAATTTAAATGGGAAATACGTGTTTTTATGCTCCAGGCCCGACTACGATAGTTTATATGTTCCGGTCTGTGCGTCCGTCTGTCCGTCCCAGGTTAAAGCTTTGGTTTAAGGTAGTTTATGGTCACATCAACTTGAAACCTAATAAACATGTACATGAACTGTTAAGTGTATTTGCCAAATTTGGCTTTTGACTGAACATGGAAATGGATAAAGTTTAAGTTTAATGTAGTTTATGGCCACACCAACTTGTAACCTTGTACTCATATTCAAAATGAAGTGAACTGTTTAATATATGATATTCTAAATTAGGATTTTTACAAAAAGTTAACTGTTCACTGAACAGGAAAAGGAAAAAGTGTGAGTGGAGCATGGTGTCATATGGACATAGAAATAGTGTGAGTGGAGCATGGTGTCATATGGACATAGAAATAGTGTGAGTGGAACATGGTTTCATATGGACATAGAAATAGTGTGAGTGGAGCATGGTTTCATATGGACATAGAAATAGTGTGAGTGGAGCATGGTTTCATATGGACATAGAAATAGTGTGAGTGGAGCATGGTGTCAGATGGACATAGAAATAGTGTGGGTGGAGCATGGTGTCATATGGACATAGAAAAAGTGTGAGTGGAGCATGGTGTCATACGGACATAGAAATAGTGTGAGTGGAGCATGGTGTCATATGGACATAGAAATAGTGTGGATGGAGCATGGTGTCATATGGACATAGAAATAGTGTGAGTGGAGCATGGTGTCATATGGACATAGAAATAGTGTGAGTGGAGCATGGTGTCATATGGACATAGAAATAGTGTGAGTGGAGCATGGTGTCATATGGACATAGAAATAGTGTGAGTGGAGCATGGTGTCATATGGACATATTTCCTAAGTCAGGAATCTGATTACAGTAGTTGTCGTCTGTTTATGTAGTTCATACGTGTTTCTCATTTCTCGTTTTTATATAGATTAGACCGTTGGTTTTTCGTTTGAATGGTTTTACACTAGTAATTTTTGGGGGCCCTTTATAGCTTGCTGTTCGGTGTGAGCCAATGCTCCGTGTTGAAGGTCGTACCTTGACCTACAATGGTTTACTTTTATAAATTGTAACTTGGATGGAGAGTTGTCTCATTGGCACTCATACCACATCTTCCTATATCTATATATTTTCTTGCTGTATCTACTAACTTCTAGATAGTCGTTAAATACACTTTATTGTTTATTGTTTTTCGTTATTCTTTTGTTTGATTTACTGTAGTTTGGTTTACGTCCAGTGAAAAAATATTTTAACATGTTCAGGACGATCGTTATTTACACGTGTAAGCAATCATTAAAATTAAAAACAATAGCGAATAATATGCTCTTTAAATAATTTTTAACTGTTTTAGAAAAATAGATATGCATTTTAAGTATTGTTACACGTTGACAATATGACTGTATATTTTGCTAACATATTTTGTTTTATCATTTCAAGACTTTGGTAGCAGAAACTTTAGTCCTAGCTAAGACACATGGATACGTTGAAAAGATAGAAAACGAACTAGAGGAGGAACTCCAACAAGACTCTTTACACCTACATGAACACTTTGGAAAGTAAGAAAGATTAAAAAAAACCAATTAAGATATGTTATGATCAATCACTTTTCTTGGAGATCTGATTCACATTAAACGTGTTGAAAAGATAGAACATGGTTTAATGTAATCGTTCAGTACAAACTTATATTTTTGAGGGGAAGTTATTTTCGATTTTCCTTTTTAATTGATAGATTGTTGTTTGATTATCATACAGTGGCAAACGATTCATGAACTATACTCAGTACAAAAACCAAAAACAAAACACACACACAATAATTACCGTCAATTTATAAAAACATTAACCTTATCCCACAAACATTACAGTTTAAGGTTGAACATTTTAACTGCCGTTTAGATAAGGAGGTATGTTTTGTAAGGACAGATATTTTACTCTGCAATAGGAAACCTATGAACTCCTCAAAGATTTTTTTCAAAAAGTAAAATAACAAAAATACCGAACTCCAAGGAAAATTCAAATCGAAAGTCCGTTATCAAATGGCAGAATCAAAAGCTCAAACACATCAAACGAATGGAAAACAACTGCCATATTCCTAACTTGGTACAGGCATTTCCTTATGTAGAAAATGATGGATTAAACCTGGTGTTATAGCTAGCTAAACCACTCACTTGTATGACAGTCGCATAAAATTCCATTATATTGACAACAATGTGTGAACAAAACAAACAGACATAATAGGTAAAAATATCAAAAATAGGGATACAGAAGTCAACCTCGTGTTATAATCTTAATCACTATAAAAACAAACAAATATATCAACAAAGAAAAACAAAATGGCATATAGACAAAGCACATAACCAAAAGGTTTTAAATGCTTTAGCACGAGGCATAGTTATACATCCTGCTTATTAAAACGGATGCACCCCTCGGCATTATCTTACTACAAATCTTATACTGGAGAAGTCAAGGTGACCATATATCTATACCATAGTTAAGGCTTGGAATATATGTCCAAACCATTAAACCTTTTGGCAATTACTGATATCTGACAAACCCTATATCAACAAAATTTAATTACAATAAACAAATGCAGTCATATCTTTTTAAAACATATTATTTAATCCAAAGCAGGTGAACCTGCAATTGGAGTCGAGTCCATAAATATGGAAACCAACTAAATTATAGTTTATCCAAAAAACATAAATTGATTATACGGTTCTAGGAGGACAACATACATTGTATAATGTCATATAAATGTACCTTTATACTAGAAGGACACGCTGATTCGTATTTTTAAACAAACTAGCTTACTCGGTATTACTCAACAGGAAGATATGTCACCTTAACTGGATATCATTCTGACTCAGAGCTAACTAGTTTATGTTCCTAAAAGTAACTCCATGATGTCTAGCTCTTTGAGAAAACTCACCAAACACACAATACAATGGGTATGACAGATAATTATAAAGTACAAATACAGGACAAACTTTTCGATATTAAAAAATTCAAACATTTCAAAAATTTAATTCAGTCAACCTTACACTGTAATGCTTTGTCGGAAAGTTCTTTGTTTTTGAGATTGATGGAAATAGGACGTCTAGGTCTTATCTTTCAAAGGAAAAATCAATTACACAAACAATAAGAAATGACTTATCTATCTCTTTGTTAGAGAACTACTATTTTCTTGTACATAAAGTAGAGTCATCAGGGAGACATACATGATCTAAGGTATATAAATCATTTTGAGATAACAAGTGGTTACACCATTGAGGCGAGGATCCGTCAGTTGACGTCAATTAAACATTACGCAGTAGTTTAAATGGTAATTATCTATAATGGCAAAGTGTGGGTGGATATAAACTTATCATAAGGGTCATGGTTAGTACATAGTGTATAATGACATTTTTGTTTGTTTGCTAAAACTAAGCACTATATAAAAGAAAACTTAATAAAGAGCTACGCCATGAGCGCATACTACGCCTGTCACTTTTTTCAAATAAAGTTCCATAACTCCTCAATGTCATACCAAAAATTTATGAAAAAAACTAAAGGGAGTTTATTTTAATAGATATAAACGAGTCCCCAATTGCAAACTGCTCAAAGTATTCTGAGTTATTGTCCAAAATCCCTCCTTTTTTATGAATAAAATTCCATAACTCGGAAACGTAAAATCTAAAATTTATAAAAATCGAAGGGAGCTCACGTCAATAGATATAAACAATTCACCAAAGTTTCATAAAAAATTGGTTAAAGAGTTTTTGAGTTATTGTCCGACGTTGTGACGACGGACAACGGTACACCATAATACGTCCCGTAAGCGGGCGTATAAACAAATCAAAAGTGCAACATAATAAAAAAATACTTCTTGTTATTACACCGATGATATTGCAAACAGTGCGTAGTTGTTCACAATTCGGAGCTTTAATTACTTTATTTGAACTAAAATATTGCTTTTCTTAAAAACTGCATAGTGTGCTTTCCTTTCCTTATTCAAAAAATGAAAATAAGAATAACCGGTACATGTACGGCTGCCAATAAGACACACTTCAATAATCAGCAAAACCCATTCTATAGAGTAATAAGCGTAAAAAGAACACTACATGATAAAACGTAAAACATTTCAAACGAGAAATCCAAAAATGCATTTAATTTTACGTCAACCGAAATATTAATACATATATTATATGTTCGAAATTGAATTGTACAACAAGATTAATAGAGGCGTATTGAACATGATGTACGTTAAAGCCAGAGCTTGAATGTACTCAAGTAACCATCAAGAGTCGCTTGAAAACACGAAGTACTGCTTCCCTAATCCATCAAATCAAATATTGATGAACCTAGAGTACTGTTTTAGTGTTGTCTCTATTTGTAATCTTGAAAGTAAGTGGACCTTTCTGCAGGGCGTCATAATTACAAACACGACATTAAAAAATTGAAAATTCATTCTTTATTCCGCTGTTGCTCCATTGAATCTGTGAGGTACATTTGTGTTACATAGGACTGTTGTAATGACCGGTAGCTTGTCCGATAGGACATTATTTACCAAATGATATCAATGTGAATTTGTTCTATATATATCTTATTTTTCAGGATCCGTCGACGGGGATATGAATTTTTCAAAAGCAAATACATGCTTTTAACCCTAGTAATTCTATGCATTTTCGACTGTGCATTAGTGTTAGGGGAGTTAACTCTCGACTTGTACAAGGTTAAAGGTAAGCAGTTCAATAACTATATGTTTATAAATGATCTTCCTTCACAGTACATATACTGTACCATGAATTTTATCACCAACAGCTTACTTATTTGCCAAAAAACTCGAAAAAGCAAACATTTTCTATGTAGAAACATATGATCTGTTAATAGGTTTAACTGAATATTTAAGTGTATAGTAAACTAGAACGATTCTTGATTAGAGCTGTTTTACGAGACTCGTTCAGGGAACGACTTATGTTTGTATGCTTCAACAATATCATTGTTACACATTTTTGTTGAATGAATGCGATTATATATTTGGGCCAGTTACCTTGTACAACAGATGTTTTGCTTATCCGTTGGAATAATTTATATTGTATGGGAACTTCATTTGATATGCATGTATCACACTATCTCGTGACTTTTTACAATTCAATTAATATATCAAATGTAGAGTAATATTTCTGTCATATTGATGGATATTGCCTGCAAAAAAAAAAAAAACAACTAATAAGTAATTAGATCATCAGGCTATAGTTTTTTTTTAACTTGTTCCGATTCTCACATCTTGTGACAGGAAAGGCACTCAATTATTGACACTTAGTTTTTAAAACATGAATATGATTGAGTGGGTTTGAGTGCATGGTTCATTGCATACAATTTTTGTTATAAATGCCTCAATCGCGTGAGTTAGAGCCGCGATGATATAGCTGTCCGATACATGATACATTTTCTCGCTTCGAAACCCTTATTCTTACAACGTTTGTTTGATTCAAAGACGTCGTTATATCTAACCAAAACAAAACAATAAATGGTTTTGATACCGTAGTGTTATTCAAATATATATAATATTTGATTTCAGTTACCCTAGAAGAAACAGAAAGCTTTACGAATAGTACACACTACTTTCTAGCACTCATACGAGAGACAAACGAACAAATTCTAAGAGGAAAACAAACTCAGGAAATATTTAACATGCTTCTACAGGCGACAATTCATTGGAATATTTCTCATTCTGATCATGATGTGATAAATAATTCCACAAATAGTTCTATACACTACAAAGTCCGAGTGAAACGGACATTACCCATGTCAACCATTCATCCTATGACTGATATAAGCCCGGATGTACGGACTATGGACAGTATGTTTGATAGCACGGCTGTGATACATTCTCATAAGGAATATAGTATAGAGGAACACATTGCTCATATTTTTCATTTTGCTAGTGTCGCAATTTTAGGTATTATTTCAATAGAGGTAGGTATACTGTTATTTATTCATAACTTGGTCACTTTATTTTATAACTTTTATGTATCGATGGTATCATGGTAACTGTTTTGGCTTCAATTTTCGTGATGTGATTTGTATTCATCAGGATCGCTCAAAGCCATCTATTCATTAGCCAAGGATGTAGAAGTATCATAACACGTGATTTTGACCAAAAACGACCTTTTAATAATAACGCTTTTCTGGATTAACATTCATCAGGAAATCTCAAACCCTAAGAAAGTATTTTTTATATAGAATTTAAAGATTATATCAGAGTATCCATTTATCAATAAAGGTACAATAATTTTGAATTGTTTGAAGAATTAAACTATTTTTGTAATGTATAACAAGGTCTGATTTCAAATTGCCTAGCATATCTCAACAGAGAAAATCACTAAATTGAAAAAAACAAAAACAAAACAATACATTTTTGTTCAGTTTTGCGGATATTAATGACAGTCTGACTGATTTCAACAGACATACACATAAAACATTTTTGACATAGATGACAGGCGATATTTATGAACCAATCATATTTCTATATGGAGAATTTCTTATCTTAAACAATTTTTAGTTAGTTCTGATTTTTCTTTCGATGTAACAGCTTCATCAGATAACATTGTTACAAAATATCTTCGACCGACAAATTTAAAGAGAGAGAGATGTAAGATAAAGAATTGTTTTTTTCTGAAAGAAAGGCAAATATTCCGGCAATTGTCCAGGTTCATTATTAGTATATAGGGATAGAAAAGGGTCATTTGAATTACTTACATATTTATTATCCATCGTACAGAGGAGTTGCATAATTAAACGAGAGGACCCTAAAAAAAATAGCAAGTACCATCTATATGGTATAACTAGTCTGCAACCTTATTTTCTTTTATTATCCAAAACAACATTGATCGCACAGTTTACTATGGACGCAAAGAGAGATTTTATTCCCGTGAAATGTATTACTTGTACGCACAAAACTCTTTGAGTTATATAGATATAAGATGTGGTATGAGTGCCAATGAGACAACTCTCCATCCAAGTCACAATTTGTTAAGTAAACCATTATAGGTCAAAGTACGGCCTTCAACACGGAGCCTTGGCTCACACCGAATCGCAAGCTATAAAGGGCCCCAAAAATTACTAGGGTAAAACCATTCAAACAGGAAAACCAATGGTCTAATCTATATAAAAAACAAGAAATGAGAAACACTTATGAACCACATCAACAAACGACAACCACTGAACATCAGGTTCCTGACTTAGGACAGATGCAAACAAATGCAGCAGGTTTAAACGTTTTAATAGGCGCCAATCTTCAACTTAACCTGAAACAATAGTGTAAACATTTTGTGTTCATTATGTTAGCTATATATCATCATTCCTATTTAAACCCAGAATTTGAAAATCAATTGGTCAACCTGAATCAGCGTGTCGGTCTAGTACAAAGCATTGTTCATAATCATATTACATTAGCACGGTTTCGTCCTGATATGCATGTAATATTTGCAACTGGATGTAAAATACTAATTCAACAATTATCAACAAACAAGATGTGTATACTTAGTGTTTAATAAAATTGCATGGTTAGATTATAGATATGCATTAAAAAGGTAAATGATGTATATATAATTAATAGTCTGTGATCTTTATTGAAATGGAAGTTACTTTTAATTTCAGACAATTTTAAAAGCACTCTGTGCTGGTTCCTTTTTTTTCCATAGACGTTTAGAGGTAAGTCAAATAAAATTAAAACATAACTTGAAAACAAAGATACATTTAGTTACGTTATACAACTTTTATGGCACACTGTGTTAATGTTGTTAAAATTAGTTGCATGGCAGATTATATCAAGAATTCTTCAGTCAAAATCGCGAGTCGTCACGCCTCAGTCATATCCAAGTATTTTCAATAAAAGGTGCTCAGTGCACTTAGGTACACATAATATATGCCAAAACTTAATTTAATAGAATTGTGTTCAATTGAACAATAATACTACTTATTTGGACTGGTGAAGAATTAATACAACAACACACAATCTTTAAGGTGGAGAATGAAGTATCGCTTTCCTGTTTAGACATTCCAGTTCGTGCCTATGGCAAAATGGTTCCATCTCAAATAAAATAAAAATGTAGAAAAACATTCACTGCTACTAAATACAAATCGAATGGCGTTTTGCTAAATAGATAAAACGTTCAGCGGGAAATATTTCTTGCACGTTGAAGACGAAAGACAAATTTAAAGTTATGTACACCTTCAAAGAGGGTCTCCCGAGAAGACCATCAAAACGTTTTGACTGCCACTGGCAAAATAGACTGTCACCTTTGACCCCTGAAAGAGATATAGCAAGGATTTCTTTGTGTAAAAACCGTGCCACTCTTTAAATGGTTCCTTTCCGAACAGACGATGCCACAGCGTATTTTTTAAAATCTCGCATAGCCAAATTGAACACATCCTCTATCACTTGTCTTACTGGTGTACAGGAAATGTCCAGACGACCATATTTGTCTACCCTTGTCAAACCATGGGGTCTTCGCATGACAGAGTTTTAACATTTATATACTAACATATATACAATTCCATTTTGTATCTGTTTATAAAGCCGTTTCAAAACTTTTACGCACCGACAACTCAGTGTCTGGGACATTAAGTGATACACATTCAGTCCTTTCGGAATTGATCTTATGTCTTGACTTCTCTGTAATGCTAGTACACAATGGTAGATTATATATTAATGATGAGTTACCGAAATAGTCGTTTCGGATGACCTTCTTTTAACGGAATTACAGCACTACAATATTTTTCTCTTTATCATTCTCACTATCAAACAGTTGGGAAAGTGTTCCCCCCGTCGCAAGTGGCAAGTATAAATAGTATTACCCATTCCTTCCTTCCGAAATTAAACAGTTGTCTTGATCTCTTTTAGGTACGGGTAACTTCAAACTTCTGAAAGTTACAAGAAAAAAAAATCCCAAACTTTTCTATAGTCTTAAAGTCTAGTAAGTCCTTGTATTACTTATTAAGTATATGGATAGGAGTGTTCTTATCATTTTGAAAATCATACAGTTTATTTATTGTAATTTTTAATATATCGGTTACGAAATATAACTATAAAAATAAGAAGATGTGGTAACTCTCCACCAGAGACCAAATGACATAGAAGTTAATAAATACTTTGTTTTGTAGGTGTTTGATGCATTTGTTGTTACCATTTCCTTCATCGCAGATACTATTTTATTAGTTGCCTTTCCAACATACAGTACGAGAGATTTTGTGTTTATATTGGCCTTTCTGTTACCATGGAGAGTCATACGAGTCGTTGACAGTAAGTGCATTTATTAATTAATTAATTTATTTATTATGGAAAGGACAAATAGTTAACATGGGTCATCCGGTACTATATGGCCAAAAATCAAAGTGTCCCTATACTTTCCCCATTTCTCTTGTCTGTAGCAAGAACAGAATGTGACAGTTGCTTATCAACTGTTTTAGGCAAACTACCATTTAGTGCAGGCAAATCGACACAGATTATCCTTTACTCCTTTGAGTTGGTAAAGTTAGTATTGCCTGTTTGTGCGCAATAAATCTCTTTGTTTTTTTTCCTATCCAACTTTCTGTTGTCTACCCTCTTTTGCGATGGTTTGATTGATTACCCTAGAGCAATGTTCTTTTTAAAATATTGTTTTTGACATTATCTGTTTTTCCCAATTTATATCCTGTTTACAAACAAAAGTAAGGTGAGTGACGTGGATTTAACTAAGATTATGGTAATGTTCTTGAGGTATTTATACTAATGCATGCACATGTTAAAATGGATATAATTTTGACCGAGACTAATAATGCAAATTTAGCATTCGTGGTACTGCCAGCAGAAAATAACGAGGGATTTTTTTTTATGTCAGAAGCCTATAATATAAATTTTAAGCCGGAACTGACATGACAATAATGCCATTGCCGAGTTTTAAGTTTTTTGCTTTTGTGCTTTGTTTTATTACAATCAAAAGATGTTTTAAACTATGTGCATTATAAACTACACATTTTATTAACTATATCCTGTTCAAAATCTTACGTCAGCCTCCCTGTGGTGAGCAGGGGTAACAGATTATATCTGGCGATCGGAAGAGGTACTCCTTCATCATTCTTAATTTATTGTCGTTTAAATGTCTTATGCTTATTTTTTTTATTTTCGCTCAAATGTCCTATAAAAATTTCGGCACTCAAATGTCCTATATTTTGGCGTTCAACATTCTTTTTTATCCCTCAAATGTCATGCCATTTCGCTCAAATATCTACTCCCGTGTTCTTGAATGTTTAAATTATGATTTTTGTTTATTCTTGTTTACGGAATTAATTCCCTCTTTTTTTAGCAATTGCAATTAAATATCCAGTTAAAACGTGCTTTCCGTACTTATTTTGTTCAAACACAATGTCGAAGAACATGACTTTTTTTTGTACCCCAGTCAGTAACATAGAAAATACATATCTTGAAAACTCAATGTCAAGAAATGTTTTTAGGCTTATCATCGAATTAGTAGTTACCATGAGCAACATGACGGTTTCACAAGTAGAGCGGAATCTGTGTACTCTCCTGGAGCACCAGAGATCACTCCAAATTTCTGGTGGTGTTCGTGTTGCTCAGTCTTGGGGTTTTCTGTGTTTTGTGAACTTGTTTGTCCCCTTGGTATCTTCCACCTATTTCTAAAGACATAGATAAATGAAAAATTCATCGGGAGGTTTTACTAATTCAAATCTTCTAATTCACTGTAAACCTCCCCTTTGTTGAGCACGGAACTTTTGTATTAAAAGGGGAATAACTGTCGATATGTTAAACTGGGTAATTTAGTGCAATTCAGTAACATTAGCTATTAGAACGACAAAAATAGTCTTAACGAATCCAACCATTGATTTTTACGAGTAAGTGTTACATAATATTTGCACTTTGAAGATTCGAATTTTCCTCCTTTAGTAATGTTCGAAATATCTGCCTTATGCATTCAAACAATATTTTCTTATTTTTAATCTTTGGCGTTTTGAGTTATTACCTCAGGATAATGAAAACGGATGTGAAAACATGAAGAAAATAAGCCATAAAACCTATTAAATACCTTACCTTCTTTTAATGCATGATTAACCACAGCCAAAGTTTTATACAGTTACTGATTTCATATGTGAACAAAAAAATGAATAGTGCCTTTTTATAATAAACACGATGATCATATTTATGTTTTAAATATAAGGACTTTGCATATACACTGTACATCCAATTTACGCGCGTTTAAAATCGATTTTGTTTGACATTGAAGGTTTAGTGGTAGCAGTAAATGATCAAAAGCTTTTTTTATATTGTAAATTTGTTGGAAAAAAGATTATGAAATTGTTTTAAATTGTTGGTTTAGTGGAAGAAAAAGATTCTGAGCATTTTTTACATTGTTCGTTTAACAGAAACATTATAAATCATGAGCATGTTTAAAATTGTAGGCTTGGTAGCAGTAAACGACCACGAGCATTGCTTTACATTGAAGGTTTTTGGAAGTAAAAGATTATCATGAGAATTTGTTTTACCATTATAGGTTTGGTAGTAGCAGTAAAAGATCATGAGCATGTTTAACATTGTAGGTTTGGTGGCAGTAAATGATCATGAGCATTGTGTTGCATTGAAAGTTGAAAGTTGAATTTGAAGATAAAGATCATGATAATTTTTTTTACCATTTAAGGCTTAGTGGTAGCAGTAAAAGATCATGAGCATTTTAGGCTGAAACTTTTGTACGGACGTAAAAAGAAAATACAGAATACTCTTAGAGATACTGAAGTTAAAGTTCAAATATTTAAGGTATATAAAAATCTTCTAAATACATTAAAAATATCATACCACAAAGTAAGCTTGAAAGGGCCCCGAAATAAAAAATGTAAAACAATTCAAACGAGAAAACTAACGGCCTGATTTATGTACATGACAATTAACAAAAAACAAATATGACATACAACAAACCACTGGACTTCGGACAGAAACAGACAGAATGTGGCGGATTAAAATGTATTTGCTAGCGCCAAAACCTTTCCCCACTCTGGGACAGTGCTGTAACAGTACATCATCAGAACAAACTATATAAATCATTTGAAAACTGGGCAATATATATATGTCTTGTTAATGATAAGTTTTTGATATATATATAAGTACGATTATCGCAACTAGCAGTTTTCACGGGGTTTGGTTTAAAAGTGGCTACTGAAAAGTAGTAGTTTAGAGCATTAGGTGACTATAACTTACTGCTTCATTGTAAAATTGTCAAAGTTTAGCCAACTGCGTTTTCCCCGAGGAGTCGGGGTGTAAGAAATGACACAATTTTAAGTAAACGTTAGTTCATTGCATACACTTAAGATCCCGTACGTTTCCTTTTCCCAAAATAGGTATTTTGAAGCTGTGTCATCCAATGAATAAAGAAAAATATTTCTTGACTTATTATATTTGTGAGTGGTTTAGAGTTATCTCTCTTTGATTTATTGGCGAATGATGTTTTACAGTATCAGTGTAATGCTCTGAGAAGATTATGTTTAGCAGAAAATATTGATGAATGGAAGATTGACCAATGTTTAAAAGCGGAACAAAAGTTCCAGTGTGAGTATATTTATATGTGCATGTTTTAATTATGTTTTCTATTGTTTAACATTGAAAATTGGAATACATATCGACATGTAGCAAATAGCTTTATTGTTGCTTGTAGTGTCTTGAAGTTAAAATGAGGTTTGAGCGTTTGCTCTTAGTTGGACTTCACCGTACTAACAGGATAAAACACAGCAACAAAAACGGTGTTTCTCTGCTTTTGGGTTAATCAAGTTCGTGTGCAAATAGTGCATAATGAATAATTCACCATATCACTACTTTTCCTTTGAATTAACCCCGAATTCATTTTCCCGAATTCATACCGGTACACTTAATGAATTTAAACAGGGAATGTTTTTGATATAGATTATAAGTAAATGCAGCTATATGTAAACATTTTGACACAATTTATGTCCGAACCAAATGATAGCTGATTGTCATAAAATAAGGAATATTGTAGATATTAGATGCCAAGGTAACTTGATCAATCTTGTTAATTGGTTGACAATAAGTATGTCGCAAACAGATTTAGATAAAATCGAGGGTAAAAAAAAAACAAACTACAAGACTTACAAAAATGACAATACCATGGCCAGAAATAAAACGACAAAACTACAAACAAATCCACAAAATTCTACACCGAAAACTAAAGATTGAGGCACACAATTTCAACTTAAAACAGGGCTTAACTCATTTGATCCGTGGAGTCATCAGTTCTTGGTCTACAAGTAATATCCATCGTTGTGTTGATCATGCAAAATTATAATTCCGTAACAAGTCGCATTCGGTGATGTCATATTCGATTGGTATTTACGGTTACAACAAGTCGATCATACCTATGGTAATCTCTAACATATAACGGCCAACCAAATGATAATGTTAAATCTTTCGAAGCTAAAGGAAATAGCAAACATTATAGTTAACTCTTTTGTACCGTTTCAAAAGTTTGAGGAGTTATGAAATCAAATCACTTTGGACTAAGGTAAAGGTGCCTAAAGTGTAATTGATATATTAAATATAAATGAATATACTGTGCAAAGCAAAGTGTCATACTGTAATACTGGAAGACTATATAAACAAAAAGCGTCTCAGAATGATCAACCTTATGCGTCGCATACTTAAATATATCACTGAGAAAAATATATGATTTTATACAATTTATTGGTTGACCTGCCAGATTTTAAAATATTACGGACATACAGAAAATTTAAAACTTTGAAAAGTTCTGAAGAACAGTTTTGATTTAATCAAATATTTTTATTTTATTATTTATAGCAACGCTTGGAAAGAGAAAGAACAAAATGAAATTAGATAGCTCATCGTTATGTCTGATAAGTGAAAACGAGACTCTGCCGTCATCGTCTAGATCTTCTCCAAGACCGTCAATTCCATCTTTGGATTTTCGTGGTCTGAAGATAATGAATGGAAACTCTGTAAAGCACAACGAAAACGACAGTATTGATGACGTTCATGAAGTCTAACTTTTATAGTTTGACTGTGAAACTTCATTCAAACGTTGACTGATGAAAGTATGATTGTTTTAGTACAATATGTTATATGTTGTTTCTTTAATTCTTTATTTCTTAATTACAATTTAAGACTTTTTTTTTAATTCGACGTGTTTCATTAATTTATTATATTAACAAAGAGGCTGTTTAATGTGCACACGGACCTGAATTACCTCTTAAACTACTTCAACTATATGTAATTATCTTCCTCTAAATATTTTGTACACAATTCACCGTAGGATTGACTGGGAAAGTTGTAAGAAGAAACCTTTAAACTACGCTTAACAAGCTAACAGACACAAAATTATTCTTAATCTCCTGTGCTGACATGAAAAGTCATGGATATGGTCAAATTCAGGAATTAACTGTTTACTAAATGTTTAATTGTTCGGAATACTCAAGATTTTCTATCCCAGGAATAGATAACATTAGCTGTATTTGGAAACATATTTTGGAATTGTGGGTTCTTTAAAAGGCCCTACAACTTCGTTCTTTATTTAGCCCTTTTACCTTGTTGGTTCGAGCGCACTGGTTGGTCTTGTGTAGACGAAACGCATGTCTGGTGTGCAAAGTTATACCTTGTTGGTTCGAGCGCACTGGTTGGTCTTGTGTAGACGAAACGCATGTCTGGTGTGCAAAGTTATACCTTGTTGGTTCGAGCGCACTGGTTGGTCTTGTGTAGACGAAACGCATGTCTGGTGTGCAAAGTTATACCTTGTTGGTTCGAGCGCACTGGTTGGTCTTGTGTAGACGAAACGCATGTCTGGTGTTCAAAGTTATACCTTGTTGGTTCGAGCGCACTGGTTGGTCTTGTGTAGATGAAACGCATGTCTGGTGTTCAAAGTTATACCTTGTTGGTTCGAGCGCACTGGTTGGTCTTGTGTAGACGAAACGCATGTCTGGTGTTCAAAGTTATACCTTGTTGGTTCGAGCGCACTGGTTGGTCTTGTGTAGACGAAACGCATGTCTGGTGTTCAAAGTTATACCTAGTTGGTTCGAGCGCACTGGTTGGTCTTGTGTAGACGAAACGCATGTCTGGTGTTCAAAGTTATACCTTGTTGGTTCGAGCGCACTGGTTGGTCTTGTGTAGACGAAACGCATGTCTGGTGTTCAAAGTTATAAGCTATGTATCTTTGATGAATTTTGTTTTAAATCTTATATTGAATAATAATTTAATTTTGGATGTAACGCGTCTTCTGATTGGCTGACGTTGTTTGTTTATCAGCTCATAGACATAATTTTGTCATGTGACCGTGACGTCATCAACGTTTTTTCATGGTTTACTCCGGTTTAAAATGGAATTTAGAATTAAATTATAAGAAATGACTGTAATATTTTTTCTGTCTATTCGAAATAACATAAAAAATGTGGTGCACACTTTAAAATAACCTGCTACGCGGGTTATTCAGTGTGCACCACATTTTTGATGTTATTTCTTCATAGACAGAAAAAATATTACAGTCATTCCTTAAATAATATTTGATAATTGAAGAAATGACTATACACAATGTATACGAATGCACCAAGAAAACTTTTAAACATGCAGTTGTTAAATGTATATACATTTATTTATATCGTAAACGGAAATGTCTTGTTGTTCCTTTATTTATTTTTTATCGAAAATGTCATAGTTATCCCGATTTATGTGTATATATTTATATGAATTACGTCATTACTTAATTATTGTTTTATTTTGCCTTATATCTTCATATTTTTCATTAGTTTAAATGTATTAAGTTTTATACCTATTTATTGTGCATCATCATTTCAAATTGAATTCATATTCAATTCTTAATATTAATGATTTGTTTTCAAGAAATATATGTCATAAGTATTTTATTGAAGATGTCCATTGGTTTGTTTTGTGTTAGTAGAGTGTTGTTCAATTGACGAGATATGAAATACATGTAAGTGATGGCATCAAGAAAATTATATAATTTATAATTATTTATTTATTGATGACAGTTTATCAAAATTTATATTTTGTAAATGAAATTATTAAAAAGATGTTAACCACTTAACTAATCCTATACACAATTATTTTGATTGTTTTTCCCTAATTTTTAATGATATTTCTTTCTCACTGTTGGGTCTACACAAATGTATACAAAAGTACCTTTTAGTTTTAATTCAAAGTTAATCTGACCAGTCCTTTCTGGTAAATAAAAGAAAATTCAAGTTCTAACCAAATAGTGTCCGTACATCCCATAGTCCGTTCGACACTTCGTCCGACCGGTATCAGGTTAAATTTTTGGTGTAAGATAATTTACCTTAAATTTATTTTTACATCAACTTGTAACGTAGTACACGTGTTCGTTATGGTGTGATCTTAATGAACTGGATACCAAATTAGGGTTTTGGTGCAGAGTTCACTGTCCATTAATTCTGTAAATGTTTTGGCTTAAGGTGGATGTAGTATACCGAGAAGATTTGGTCACATCATGTTAATCATGAAGAGTATATGCTTAATGAGGGTTTGTGACCAAAATTTTTATAGTTCATCGAACATTGAAATGTGATAGTACTGGCGGTTAGTTGAGTCCAACGGACACATATTGTTGTTTATCTAATTATATCTTCCAATGGAGTTCAAAGCTTTAAAGCAATAACAGTTATGTTAGCCTTTTCAATGTGTTTCATTGTGTAAATGTTTGGAAATAATTTTACAATGATTGTGTATCTTTCGTACAATGATTTAAAAATGGAACGATTCCTTTTATACAAAATGCTGGTCATTTTTAGCAAGTACATTTTGTACATGTAATATATTCAATGTAAATATTGTATGTTTGTATAGTGAACTGTGTTGTTTTAATGTGTTTTAGTTTTATATTGAAGACATACAAATTAGAAACAATCTTTAAAGGAATCCAATAGGGAATTCCATGCCATTTACAAATAAGTATATCACTAAATATTCTCTGAAGGGCAAAACTATAATGTGAGTAAACATAAAGCAAAAGTTCTCGATATCTGAATTTTGCATCAACACTGTCTCTTACAAAAGCTTATTTAAAATAATAAAAAAAAAAATCAACATCAACATGTAATATCACAAAAACACCTACATAACCCTTTTTGCCATCATAAGAAAAAAACATGTACGGTAAAACTATTTGTAGTCCCTACAATCGAAAAAAGTCAGTTAATCGCAAACGTTCTGGTTTTCGGACAAAGAACATTATGTTTATGACTAATTTAGAATTTTTGGTAAATCAAGTGTCTATAGGGTATGCATTCATGTTTTCGGAAATTAATATATTAACAACTATAAAAAAAACACAGTTACAATATTTTATAAAGATATAAAGATTACTCTAAAGTCTGCTTATCTTGTTCCAGCTTTAAATCTTAAAACCTTAAGTACAAAGTTCAACTGATTTGATTTACTATGCAGAATTCAATATTTTAATCTTATTGAAACAAAAACTATGCATCTTTATATTACCACTTGAGGCAATTTGGTTGTGTTTAACATGTGCAATAGTATTTGTTATTTGTATTGTTACTAAGACTGGATATTTTATTTTTCAAGATCAGTAATTGAAAACTGTATTTTTGCTGCAATATTTGATTAAGAAAAGTCAAATTATGACGCATTATCTAATAATTTTAACACAGAAGAGATTTGACGGATATCAGAAATATGCTATTCAATTTCGTACTATATTTGGCATTTTTAACTTTTGTGATTCTAGCGTCACTGATGAGTCTTTTGTAAACAAAACGCGCGTCTGGCGTGCAATATATAGCCTAGTATCTTTGATGAGTTTCTTTTATGTAAACTGTCTTATTTAGTTAGCAATATTATCGTACAGAAAAATAGTATGAGCATATGAAGTATAAGCGATAATTTATTGTTTGTTAAGAAACTTGATGATTTTTTTGTATTTGGTCGCTTGAAAAGTTTTGATATAAAGAAGCTTTTATTGTGATATCCGTTTGAAATAAAAAGGTTTGCCTTGATATTTATAATGAAACTCAGTGGAAAGGTCATACAAGGAATAAATTATTTATAGAGTATTTGAAGTGATCGGAGACTTTTAAATACCATTCTTAAATTGTCAGTTCATAAATTCATGAATTATTTAGAAACTTAGGTTCCAACTCCTTCGAACAAAGTTGACCTTAGATAGATTTGGTTATTATTTTTAGGTATCTCTATGTTATTTAGATCTTCACAAACAAAGTCTTATTTTGGTACATCCTTGGCTTTTAAATGTTTGGTTTTGATCGCTCCTGATGATTGTAAATCGCTCCTGATGAAGGTAAATCGCTAAAATTTTTATAGTGTAATTACAATTTTTTAAAAGAAACAATTTCTTCATGCGATGCAACTTTTGCCTCGGTGATAATCGGATTACACTTAGAATGTGTTGCAGTAATCAGTTTTTACTAAGTACATCTGATTACACTTCGAATGAGTTGCAGTACTCAGTTTCTATTATGTACATGTTGAAGTTTAAGTGGACAAATGACTGCTGGGCAGTCTTACTTGATGTTTGTCATTATCAGGGACATTTTGTCAAAAACAAGTTTGCACTGTAGATGTTTTCCTTTTTTTACACATCTTGACTGAAATTTTATTACAATAAAATTATTTTCCTTTGAACATATTTCTTTTTATGAGTAAACTATGAAGAGTTCATGTGAAAATCCACTGTAATGAAACAATTTTTCAAATAATGATACATGTATATTATAAACATTAAAAAAAAACCAGGTGCAACTTAGAATATACTCTTGCCCAACAGAGAGACCTGTTCAAAGTATTCATATATGAATATAAAAGGAAACTTTAGGTTTGTAAACACATTAAGATGAAAATCTAAAACAATTCCTATCCTAGTTTGCTCACTATAAGCATTACAGAAAAAAGAAAAAAAGAAAGAAACATACAAAATAATGAAAAAAAATAATAAAGAAAACTTCCATAGCTAAACTAAATAAAGATATGGATGGAACCACACGAATAAAATATACAAATGCAACCACACGAATAAAAGATAATGTAGCCACACGAATAAAAGATGAATTATTTTAATATAATAATAACTTTTCTGGTATCATCCTAAGGCAACAATATCAAACAGAAGACTTTGATGGATATCCTATTGAAAACAAAAACAGTGGAATAATACTAGGGCCTTTCTTGAAAACGACTAGTAACAATCGATTATTAACGTTTGTGTTGTCATTCCATATATGGATTGAAACGTTATCTTCTTGGAATTTATAGTAAAATAGAGACGAAAGATATACTCAAACTCATAAGTCAAAAACTTAGTCTAACTGACAATGCCATTGAAAAATAGGCAAAACGACAAACAACAGTACACAAAACACAACATAGAAAACTAACGACTGAGCAAAACGAACACCACCAAAATACCGTGGATGGTCTTAGGTTTTCCAGAAAGGTAAGCAGATCTTGATAATTACATTCTTTATCATATCCTTGGAGATGATATGGGC